GGGCGATCAGGCAGGCAGGCAGGTGAGCGGTTAGGAGCCAGCGGTCCCAGATTGCGAGAGGGATGTCTGACTGCCGGTTTAGGCCTAATCCCTGTGGCCTAAACCAGCAGTCGGACATCCCCCAAGGGGTCCCGGATTGGAGAGGGTGCAGGCCAGGCTGAGTGATCCCTCACCCCCATGCACGAATTTCGTGCAACAGGCCTCTAGTATATTATAGTATTGTTTTTAAACTAAAATAACATACAATCCTTTAGTTAAAGTATGTATGTTTAAATTAACTCTTAAGACAGATATTTATAAATTCAAGTAAGATAAAATTTGCTTATTTCAGCAAATGATTAGGTTTTTTCAAATGATTCATGTTGCAACAAAATGAAATCCATAGCATTCTGTGTCAGAGAGAGAGGGAGAAAGAGAGAGAGAAGGGGTGGGGGGAGAGAGAGAGAGAGAGAGAGAGAGAGAGAGAGAGAGAGATTTGATCAATTACTGGAATAGGCTTTTGCACTTAGAAGGCCAAGAAAACCCAGGATCTACTAGCTCAAAATTCTGCAAGCTGGGTAACCAGAAAAGCTAGTGGGCTAATTCAGTCCACAGAACTGAGAACCGGGAGCACAGATCTTTAAAGGCGGGAAAGAATGGATGGCCCTGCTTAGGAAAAGAGGCAATTTCTCCTTCCTACATCCTTTTGTTCTCTTCAGTCCCCTCAACAGAGTGGCTAATGGTGAGGTAGAGCTTTACTCAGTCTACCAATTTTAATGTCACTCTCTCTCAGAAACAATCTCACAGACACAGCCAGAAATAATGGTTTGCCAGCTACTTGGGCATCCCTTAGCTCACTCAAACGACACATAAAATTAACCATCACAACATCTAATTCCCACCTCCATCATCTTTATCCTATTCCAAATCAAGAAGACTGTTGCTTGATGGATTATTTTCATGGTCTCCTATCAGTTTATTTTCACCATAGCATATAAAAGGATTCTGTTAAATTGTTACATCAATCATATCAATTATCTGTTGAAAACCCTCAAATTATTTCCTATCTCAAAATAAAAGCCAAAGTATTTGCAGTAACACTAAAAGATCTTTGCCTCAACATATAGACAGAATGTATATTAAGGAATGCCTAGGGCTGTGAGGTTAAGGAGAGTGTGAGGAAATAGCTAAAAGTGTACAGGATTTTTTTTTGGGGGGGGGTAGGGGGATAAAACTGCTCTAACATTTATTTTGATGATGGTTGCACAACCATAAATATACTAAAACATTTGAACTTTAAGTGGGTGAATTGTAAGATTGCTCCAGCCACACCAGCCTCCTTACTGTCCTTCAAATAAGCCAGGGAAAGCTAATGCTTTAAGATATTTTCATTGGCTGTGCCATCTGTCTATAACTCTTTTCAATTCTAAAATCTTTTTGATCAATGGGCAGCTTTAAATTAACTTTGCACTGTCATGAATTTAAAAAAAATTAAGCCACCGTTAACCAAAATAATTCTGCCAGATACTAATTCAATATTTAAACATCTTGTTTAAGAATCGTGATGGTGACTTATTTTTTTCCCTTGTATTGTATTTTTGGGGGTGACAATAATTAACAATATTATAAAGGTTCCAGGTATACAATTCTACAACATATCATCTGTACACTGTATTGTGTGTTCACCACCCCAAGTCAAGTCGTAGTCCATCACCATTTATCTACCCTACAATCTCCTCCACCTCTGCAACCCACCGTTCCTGAGCAATCATTAAAAAAATAGTTTATGGTGATTTAAATTTGGAAATGCTGTATATAAATCCACTCCTTTCAAAATATAACATCCTATATAATAAAAGCTTAATATGCAAATTGCGCGAACGGTGGAATGACAGGTGGAACGACCAGTCACTATGATGCGCACTGATCACCAGGGGGCAGATGCTCAATGTAGGAGTTGCCTCTAGCCTGCAGGCCCCAGGCCAGCCAAGGTAGGTGCCAGCAGGGGGGCCCCCTGATCGCCCCGCCGGTCACCCCACAGATTGGCCCTGGTCTCTGGCCAGGCCTAGGGACCCTATCCATGCACAAATTTCATGCACCGGGCCTCTAGTGAAACAATAACATTAAAATATCTGAGAAAAATCCTTGTGGTAAAGGAACCAATTTACTTTTGATTGCTTCTGTAGTTCCAACATGTACTTAGACCAATGATACTCATTTCTATATTACTTTCCATGTAACATGTCATCAAATATCCCTTTATGGAAATGCTCTATTAGGCAAATTCATTTCCATACCCTTGAATGAAAGTTTTAAGTACAATCTTTATCAACAATGCAACATTAATACATCTGACCTATTTTAACTGTCAAACTAAACTTTTTTGAGGTAAACTTAGGGCATAAATTTAATGAATAAACTTTCTTCTTAAAAAAATCACAAATGTTGGCAGTGCTGCCACCCAGGCTGGGCGTGTGCCCTGGCTGG